GGTTAAGGGTGGGACTGTTTAGCAAGAGGGCTTCTCTGACTGTGTGACACACATGCATGGAGGAGCCATGTCAACACCACTTGGAAGGCTCCCATCTGAGGGTGGGCCGTGTACAGATGTTCGAGCAGCTCTTGGAACGCGAGGTCCATGGTGAAGGGCACTGAGGAGCAGAAGAGGCATCCGGCTTGTCCAGTGGTGGTGGGTGTCGAAGTAGATCCTGGCATTGGACAGTGAGCTCTTCGCTCAGAACGGTGCATTTTGTCCTGGTTCCTGCTGAAAGTGTGCTAACTGGGGGTCTCCTGATGTCGATTGTGACACAAGGAAGCTTCTGTGGTCTCTGATTGGAGCCGCAGGTCAGATCTGAGGCCCTCGCCATTGCGGCCCTTTGGGTTGGTGAGGTTGCTGAGTACCCTGTGGGCTGCAGCGGCTGCAGAGACCTAGGGGAACGGTGGAAGTTGTGAAAGTTAATAGGCCTCATTTCTGCCCTGGTAGTTCCCGAATTGCAACTCCTGTCCCATGCTTGAGTCTTGGATGTCGCCATGGACTGTGTTGTGGTCACAGGCCTGCATTTCTCCTGTAGGTTGGCCAGAGGCCCAGAGAAGAATGGTTGTGCAGGTGAGGAAAAGTGCAGTGTGATTTCCTGGGATGTCATGTCTGCCGAGGCTGCAGGCACTGTCGTTCTGTTTTCACTGATACATACTGTGGTCCTTTGGAAGCTGCCCTCAGCTGGGTACAGAGGAGAGGGCATTGCTGGTGCTTGGGAGGCTCGGTGATAGGTGACCTTTGTGTCCTTGGTTGCCTGCTGCCAGTAGAAGGACTGTCCAAGGGTATCTTTGGTGCCTTGAAGAGTTGCAGTAACAGAGGCCAAGCAGCCAGGCCTGTGGGTTGTTATGTGGTGTGCGCACATGCCTCTTGGCCTCCATTTGAGCGTGGGCCTGGAATTAGCTTTGTTCCCTAAGGTTGGGGGCAGTCAGCCGGCCCTGATAGCACCAATGTGTTCGTCCCCCCTCGCAATGAAGCATCAAACGTGGAGGCCCGTGGTTCTGGTAGAGATTGGTCATTGGCTGGCATACCCACGCTGCCTTGTTATCGGAGCCAGCAGCTCCCATGGCACTGTGGCAGAGACCTGTGGCATCCAAGGTCTTCCCCTGGCAGGTGTTCTGATGTCTTCATTAAAGCGTCCTTAGTGATCTGTGTGCACTGGGTCAGTCTGCCCACCTTCATCCTCTGGATCTTCCTGCTTGCTGATTGTGCCTGAGTGTGCTGAGGCCTTGGAGGCTTCAGATTTGGGTGAGTAACCCTTGCGGCAGGAGGAGTTCAATCTGGACCACGGCCTGCATTATGGGAGCTTTCTCTAGGGTGTCGTCAGTAGCCCGGTCCCTACAGGGTGTGGATCTGAGGATGATCTGGCCAGGACAGGGGTCCCGTTTCTGTGGGAGTGACCCTTGGATCCTGGTACCTGAGGCAGTCCAGGTCCCATCCTCACTTTCTGTCAGAGGCCGCCCAATGATTGGACTGACTGGCAGGAAGAGACGCATGCCTTGAATTCTTTTCCTATTCGAGGGTGCGGTGAGCCGTATCTGCCCTAGTGCCAAGTTCACCTTACTGTGCAGTTCTCTGGGAACATTTTCTGGTTAGGGTAGAGGTGGTCCTTGTGACAAGGACCCCTTAGCTGTAGTAGTAGCTACAGTCTCAGGGTACGTGGCATTCACACAGATGCTCTGCAAGGTGACCTTGGGCGGTCAGGTCTCTGCTTTGGTCAGAGATCATGGGTCATGGAGACTGGGAGCCTAGAGCCGATGTCGACAGCCCCTCAGTGAAATTTTGCATGGGGCCGAAGGAAGATGCCAGGTGTCCTCCCCCATTTCGTGGGAAGACAGGAGGTCAGGGCTCCATGAAGACGACATGCGTTTTCAGACCCCAGGGTGTTTCCATGCAGCCTCTGAAACATGGATACCCGGACGTATTTCTAGACCCACACCCAAATTGCCGAGAGTGCATTCTTGTTGGTACATTCTTGTTGGCACTCAAGCCCAAATAGAATACCCTACCAGCCATGCATGCTGAGTCAGAAAGTCACCCACATGCACCTGAGCCTGATTTGCTGCACTCTTTTGAAAGGTAGGTAACTGTCTGTAAGGGTTGGATGTAGTTGGGTTCAGATACAGGCCTTCCCCCAGTGAAATATTTCCTCGGTGTTATTCAGTGAGAGACCAAGCACACATCTCAAGTGTTCCTGTGCTTTCTGTCCCCTTGTCAGGTGAAGTTGCCAGGTATGGCTGTCCATCACCCAGGATACGAAGCCCCGCCCATGAGGCAGGGTCTCGAGGTGCAAGGCAGTCCGGCAAGAAGTGTGGTGCCCCAGGTTGCTGCCAGTTCTTTTTGGATCACCGAGCACGGTACGTCTTCTCCTGCCCCAAGACGTGTCGTGAATTTCAGGCTTCCTGGCGCTGCTGCCTGAGTGGCTGTCCGTGAGGAGGGACCATTCCTCTTGTTGACAAGCCTGGGGGCTCTGAGTTCCCCGGCTGCTGGACGACTCCCAGGTCACTGGCTCCTCCTGAGAGCGGCACTGCCTGCCCTGTGAAGGTGGGGAGCGACCCAGCTCGTGCTCGGATCGATGACGACACCCTCTCATGCATTCCTTGGAAAATCTGAACAAAATGAGTGAGAACTCACTACCGTCTCCTCATCGAAACTGAGGTCCAGCACGTTGCCTCCCTTTGGGTTAAGGGTGGGACTGTTTAGCAAGAGGGCTTCTCTGACTGTGTGACACACATACATGGAGGAGCCATATCAAGACCACTTGGAAGGCTCCCATCTGAGCGTGGGCCGTGTACAGATGTTCGAGCAGCTCTTGGAACGCGAGGTCCATGGTGAAGGGCACTGAGGAGCAGAAGAGGCATCCGGCTTGTCCAGTGGTGGTGGGTGTCGAAGTAGATCCTGGCATTGGACAGTGAGCTCTTCGCTCAGAACGGTGCATTTTGTCCTGGTTCCTGCTGAAAGTGTGCTAATTGGTGGTCTCCTGATGTCGATTGTGACACAAGGAAGCTTCTGTGGTCTCTGATTGGAGCCGCAGGTCAGATCTGAGGCCCTCGCCATTGCGGCCCTTTGGGTTGGTGAGGTTGCTGAGTACCCTGTGGGCTGCAGCGGCTGCAGAGACCTAGGGGAACGGTGGAAGTTGTGAAAGTTAATAGGCCTCATTTCTGCCCTTGGTAGTTCCTGAATTGCAACTCCTGTCCCATGTTTGAGTCTTGGATGTCGCCATGGACTGTGTTGTGGTCACAGGTCTGCATTTCTCCTGTAGGTTGGCCAGAGGCCCAGAGAAGAATGGTTGTGCAGGTGAGGAAAAGTGCAGTGTGATTTCCTGGGATGTTATGTCTGCTGAAGTTGCAGGCACTGTCATTCTGTTTTCACTGATACATACTGTGGTCCTTTGGAAGCTGCCCTCAGCTGGGTACAGAGGAGAGGGCATTGCTGGTGCTTGGGAGGCTCGGTGATAGGTGACCTTTGTGTCCTTGGTGGCCTGCTGCCAGTAGAAGGACTGTCCAAGGGTATCTTTGGTGCCTTGAAGAGTTGCAGTAACAGAGGCCAAGCAGCCAGGCCTGTGGGTTGTTATGTGGTGTGCGCACATGCCTCTTGGCCTCCATTTGAGCGTGGGCCTGGAATTAGCTTTGTTCCCTAAGGTTGGGGCCAGTCAGCCGGCCCTGATAGCACCAATGTGTTCGTCCCCCCTCGCAATGAAGCATCAAACGTGGAGGCCCGTGGTTCTGGTAGAGATTGGTCATTGGCTGGCATACCCACGCTGCCTTGTTATCGGAGCCAGCAGCTCCCATGGCACTGTGGCAGAGACCTGTGGCATCCAAGGTCTTCCCCTGGCAGGTGTTCTGATGTCTTCATTAAAGCGTCCTTAGTGATCTGTGTGCACTGGGTCAGTCTGCCCACCTTCATCCTCTGGATCTTCCTGCTTGCTGATTGTGCCTGAGTGTGCTGAGGCCTTGGAGGCTTCAGATTTGGGTGAGTAACCCTTGCGGCAGGAGGAGTTCAATCTGGACCACGGCCTGCATTATGGGAGCTTTCTCTAGGGTGTCGTCAGTAGCCCGGTCCCTACAGGGTGTGGATCTGAGGATGATCTGGCCAGGACAGGGGTCCCGTTTCTGTGGGAGTGACCCTTGGATCCTGGTACCTGAGGCAGTCCAGGTCCCATCCTCACTTTCTGTCAGAGGCCGCCCAATGATTGGACTGACTGGCAGGAAGAGACGCATGCCTTGAATTCTTTTCCTATTCGAGGGTGCGGTGAGCCGTATCTGCCCTAGTGCCAAGTTCACCTTACTGTGCAGTTCTCTGGGAACATTTTCTGGTTAGGGTGGAGGTGGTCCTTGTGACAAGGACCCCTTAGCTGTAGTAGTAGCTACAGTCTCAGGGTACGTGGCATTCACACAGATGCTCTGCAAGGTGACCTTGGGCGGTCAGGTCTCTGCTTTGGTCAGAGATCATGGGTCATGGAGACTGGGAGCCTAGAGCCGATGTCGACAGCCCCTCAGTGAAATTTTGCATGGGGCCGAAGGAAGATGCCAGGTGTCCTCCCCCATTTCGTGGGAAGACAGGAGGTCAGGGCTCCATGAAGACGACATGCGTGTTCAGACCGCAGGGTGTTTCCATGCAGGCTCTGAAACTTGGATACCCGGACGTATTTCTAGACACACACCCAAATTGCCGAGAGTGCATTCTTGTTGGTACATTCTTGTTGGCACTCAAGCCCAAATAGAATCCCCTACCACCCATGCATGCTGAGTCAGAAAGTCACCCACATGCACCTGAGCCTGATTTGCTGCACTCTTTTGAAAGGTAGGTAACTGTCTGTAAGGGTTGGATGTAGTTGGGTTCAGATACAGGCCTTCCCCCAGTGAAACATTTTCCTTGGTGTTATTCAGTGAGAGACCAAGCGCACATCTCAAGTGTTCCTGTGCTTTCTGTCCCCTTGTCAGGTGAAGTTGCCAGGTATGGCTGTCCATCACCCAGGATACGAAGCCCCGCCCATGAGGCAGGGGCTCGAGGTGCAAGGCAGTCCGGCAAGAAGTGTGGTGCCCCAGGTTGCTGCCAGTTCTTTTTGGATCACCGAGCACGGTACGTCTTCTCCTGCCCCAAGACGTGTCGTGAATTTCAGGCTTCCTGGCGCCGCTGCCTGAGTGGCTGTCCGTGCGGAGGGACCATTCTTCTTGTTGACAAGCCTGGGGGCTCTGAGTTCCCCGGCTGCTGGAGGACTCCCAGGTCACTGGCTCTTCCTGAGAGTGGCACTGCCTGCCCTGTGAAGGTGGGGAGCGAGCCAGCTCGTGCTCGGATCGATGACGACACCCTCTCATGCATTCCTTGGAAAATCTGAACAAAATGAGTGAGAACTCACTACCGTCTCCTCATCGAAACTGAGGTCCAGCACGTTGCCTCCCTTTGGGTTAAGGGTGGGACTGTTTAGCAAGAGGGCTTCTCTGACTGTGTGACACACATGCATGGAGGAGCCATGTCAACACCACTTGGAAGGCTCCCATCTGAGGGTGGGCCGTGTACAGATGTTCGAGGAGCTCTTGGAACGCGAGGTCCATGGTGAAGGGCACTGAGGAGCAGAAGAGGCATCCGGCTTGTCCAGTGGTGGTGGGTGTCGAAGTAGATCCTGGCATTGGACAGTGAGCTCTTCGCTCAGAACGGTGCATTTTGTCCTGGTTCCTGCTGAAAGTGTGCTAACTGGGGGTCTCGTGATGTCGATTGTGACACAAGGAAGCTTCTGTGGTCTCTGATTGGAGCCGCAGGTCAGATCTGAGGCCCTCGCCATTGCGGCACTTTGGGTTGGTGAGGTTGCTGAGTACCCTGTGGGCTGCAGCGGCTGCAGAGACCTAGGGGAACCGTGGAAGTTGTGAAAGTTAATAGGCCTCATTTCTGCCCTTGATAGTTCCTGAATTGCAACTCCTGTCGCATGCTTGAGTCTTGGAGGTCGCCATGGACTGTGTTGTGGTCACAGGCCTGCATTTCTCCTGTAGGTTGGCCAGAGGCCCAGAGAAGAATGGTTGTGCAGGTGAGGAAAAGTGCAGTGTGATTTCCTGGGATGTCATGTCTGCCGAGGCTGCAGGCACTGTCGTTCCGTTTTCACTGATACATACTGTGGTCCTTTGGAAGCTGCCCTCAGCTGGGTACAGAGGAGAGGGCATTGCTGGTGCTTGGGAGGCTCGGTGATAGGTGACCTTTGTGTCCTTGGTGGCCTGCTGCCAGTAGAAGGACTGTCCAAGGGTATCTTTGGTGCCTTGAAGAGTTGCAGTAACAGAGGCCAAGCAGCCAGGCCTGTGGGTTGTTATGTGGTGTGTGCACATGCCTCTTGGCCTCCATTTGAGCGTGGGCCTGGAATTAGCTTTGTTCCCTAAGGTTGGGGCCAGTCAGCCGGCCCTGATAGCACCAATGTGTTCGTCCCCCCTCGCAATGAAGCATCAAACGTGGAGGCCCGTGGTTCTGGTAGAGATTGGTCATTGGCTGGCATACCCACGCTGCCTTGTTATCGGAGCCAGCAGCTCCCATGGCACTGTGGCAGAGACATGTGGCATCCAAGGTCTTCCCCTGGCAGGTGTTCTGATGTCTTCATTAAAGCGTCCTTAGTGATCTGTGTGCACTGGGTCAGTCTGCCCACCTTCATCCTCTGGATCTTCCTGCTTGCTGATTGTGCCTGAGTGTGCTGAGGCCTTGGAGGCTTCAGATTTGGGTGAGTAACCCTTGCGGCAGGAGGAGTTCAATCTGGACCACGGCCTGCATTATGGGAGCTTTCTCTAGGGTGTCGTCAGTAGCCCGGTCCCTACAGGGTGTGGATCTGAGGATGATCTGGCCAGGACAGGGGTCCCGTTTCTGTGGGAGTGACCCTTGGATCCTGGTACCTGAGGCAGTCCAGGTCCCATCCTCACTTTCTGTCAGAGGCCGCCCAATGATTGGACTGACTGGCAGGAAGAGACGCATGCCTTGAATTCTTTTCCTATTCGAGGGTGCGGTGAGCCGTATCTGCCCTAGTGCCAAGTTCACCTTACTGTGCAGTTCTCTGGGAACATTTTCTGGTTAGGGTGGAGGTGGTCTTTGTGACAAGGACCCCTTAGCTGTAGTAGTAGCTACAGTCTCAGGGTACGTGGCATTCACACAGATGCTCTGCAAGGTGACCTTGGGCGGTCAGGTCTCTGCTTTGGTCAGAGATCATGGGTCATGGAGACTGGGAGCCTAGAGCCGATGTCGACAGCCCCTCAGTGAAACTGTGCATGGGGCCGAAGGAAGATGCCAGGTGTCCTCCCCCATTTCGTGGGAAGACAGGAGGTCAGGGCTTCATGAAGACGACATGCGTGTTCAGACCGCAGGGTGTTTCCATGCAGGCTCTGAAACTTGGATACCCGGACGTATTTCTAGACACACACCCAAATTCCCGAGAGTGCATTCTTGTTGGTACATTCTTGTTGGCACTCAAGCCCAAATAGAATCCCCTACCAGCCATGCATGCTGAGTCAGAAAGTCACCCACATGCACCTGAGCCTGATTTGCTGCACTCTTTTGAAAGGTAGGTAACTGTCTGTAAGGGTTGGATGTAGTTGGGTTCAGATACAGGCCTTCCCCCAGTGAAATATTTCCTCGGTGTTATTCAGTGAGAGACCAAGCGCACATCTCAAGTGTTCCTGTGCTTTCTGTCCCCTTGTCAGGTGAAGTTGCCAGGTATGGCTGTCCATCACCCAGGATACGAAGCCCCGCCCATGAGGCAGGGTCTCGAGGTGCAAGGCAGTCCGGCAAGAAGTGTGGTGCCCCAGGTTGCTGCCAGTTCTTTTTGGATCACCGAGCACGGTACGTCTTCTCCTGCCCCAAGACGTGTCGTGAATTTCAGGCTTCCTGGCGCTGCTGCCTGAGTGGCTGTCCGTGAGGAGGGACCATTCCTCTTGTTGACAAGCCTGGGGGCTCTGAGTTCCCCGGCTGCTGGAGGACTCCCAGGTCACTGGCTCCTCCTGAGAGCGGCACTGCCTGCCCTGTGAAGGTGGGGAGCGAGCCAGCTCGTGCTCGGATCGATGACGACACCCTCTCATGCATTCCTTGGAAAATCTGAACAAAATGAGTGAGAACTCACTACCGTCTCCTCATCGAAACTGAGGTCCAGCACGTTGCCTCCCTTTGGGTTAAGGGTGGGACTGTTTAGCAAGAGGGCTTCTCTGACTGTGTGACACACATGCATGGAGGAGCCATGTCAACACCACTTGGAAGGCTCCCATCTGAGGGTGGGCCGTGTACAGATGTTCGAGGAGCTCTTGGAACGCGAGGTCCATGGTGAAGGGCACTGAGGAGCAGAAGAGGCATCCGGCTTGTCCAGTGGTGGTGGGTGTCGAAGTAGATCCTGGCATTGGACAGTGAGCTCTTCGCTCAGAACGGTGCATTTTGTCCTGGTTCCTGCTGAAAGTGTGCTAACTGGGGGTCTCGTGATGTCGATTGTGACACAAGGAAGCTTCTGTGGTCTCTGATTGGAGCCGCAGGTCAGATCTGAGGCCCTCGCCATTGCGGCCCTTTGGGTTGGTGAGGTTGCTGAGTACCCTGTGGGCTGCAGCGGCTGCAGAGACCTAGGGGAACGGTGGAAGTTGTGAAAGTTAATAGGCCTCATTTCTGCCCTTGGTAGTTCCTGAATTGCAACTCCTGTCCCATGTTTGAGTCTTGGATGTCGCCATGGACTGTGTTGTGGTCACAGGTCTGCATTTCTCCTGTAGGTTGGCCAGAGGCCCAGAGAAGAATGGTTGTGCAGGTGAGGAAAAGTGCAGTGTGATTTCCTGGGATGTTATGTCTGCTGAAGTTGCAGGCACTGTCATTCTGTTTTCACTGATACATACTGTGGTCCTTTGGAAGCTGCCCTCAGCTGGGTAGAGAGGAGAGGGCATTGCTGGTGCTTGGGAGGCTCGGTGATAGGTGACCTTTGTGTCCTTGGTGGCCTGCTGCCAGTAGAAGGACTGTCCAAGGGTATCTTTGGTGCCTTGAAGAGTTGCAGTAACAGAGGCCAAGCAGCCAGGCCTGTGGGTTGTTATGTGGTGTGCGCACATGCCTCTTGGCCTCCATTTGAGCGTGGGCCTGGAATTAGCTTTGTTCCCTAAGGTTGGGGCCAGTCAGCCGGCCCTGATAGCACCAATGTGTTCGTCCCCCCTCGCAATGAAGCATCAAACGTGGAGGCCCGTGGTTCTGGTAGAGATTGGTCATTGGCTGGCATACCCACGCTGCCTTGTTATCGGAGCCAGCAGCTCCCATGGCACTGTGGCAGAGACCTGTGGCATCCAAGGTCTTCCCCTGGCAGGTGTTCTGATGTCTTCATTAAAGCGTCCTTAGTGATCTGTGTGCACTGGGTCAGTCTGCCCACCTTCATCCTCTGGATCTTCCTGCTTGCTGATTGTGCCTGAGTGTGCTGAGGCCTTGGAGGCTTCAGATTTGGGTGAGTAACCCTTGCGGCAGGAGGAGTTCAATCTGGACCACGGCCTGCATTATGGGAGCTTTCTCTAGGGTGTCGTCAGTAGCCCGGTCCCTACAGGGTGTGGATCTGAGGATGATCTGGCCAGGACAGGGGTCCCGTTTCTGTGGGAGTGACCCTTGGATCCTGGTACCTGAGGCAGTCCAGGTCCCATCCTCACTTTCTGTCAGAGGCCGCCCAATGATTGGACTGACTGGCAGGAAGAGACGCATGCCTTGAATTCTTTTCCTATTCGAGGGTGCGGTGAGCCGTATCTGCCCTAGTGCCAAGTTCACCTTACTGTGCAGTTCTCTGGGAACATTTTCTGGTTAGGGTGGAGGTGGTCCTTGTGACAAGGACCCCTTAGCTGTAGTAGTAGCTACAGTCTCAGGGTACGTGGCATTCACACAGATGCTCTGCAAGGTGACCCTTGGCGGTCAGGTCTCTGCTTTGGTCAGAGATCATGGGTCATGGAGACTGGGAGCCTAGAGCCGATGTCGACAGCCCCTCAGTGAAATTTTGCATGGGGCCGAAGGAAGATGCCAGGTGTCCTCCCCCATTTCGTGGGAAGACAGGAGGTCAGGGCTCCATGAAGACGACATGCGTGTTCAGACCGCAGGGTGTTTCCATGCAGGCTCTGAAACTTGGATACCCGGACGTATTTCTAGACACACACCCAAATTGCCGAGAGTGCATTCTTGTTGGTACATTCTTGTTGGCACTCAAGCCCAAATAGAATCCCCTACCACCCATGCATGCTGAGTCAGAAAGTCACCCACATGCACCTGAGCCTGATTTGCTGCACTCTTTTGAAAGGTAGGTAACTGTCTGTAAGGGTTGGATGTAGTTGGGTTCAGATACAGGCCTTCCCCCAGTGAAACATTTTCCTCGGTGTTATTCAGTGAGAGACCAAGCGCACATCTCAAGTGTTCCTGTGCTTTCTGTCCCCTTTTCAGGTGAAGTTGCCAGGTATGGCTGTCCGTCACCCAGGATACGAAGCCCCGCCCATGAGGCAGGGGCTCGAGGTGCAAGGCAGTCCGGCAAGAAGTGTGGTGCCCCAGGTTGCTGCCAGTTCTTTTTGGATCACCGAGCACGGTACGTCTTCTCCTGCCCCAAGACGTGTCGTGAATTTCAGGCTTCCTGGCGCCGCTGCCTGAGTGGCTGTCCGTGTGAAGGGACCGTTCCTCTTGCTGCGAAGCCTGGGGGCTCTGAGTTCCCCGGCTGCTGGAGGACTCCCAGGTCACTGGCTCCTCCTGAGAGCGGCACTGCCTGCCCTGTGAAGGTGGGGAGCGAGCCAGCTCGTGCTCGGATCGATGACGACACCCTCTCATGCATTCCTTGGAAAATCTGAACAAAATGAGTGAGAACTCACTACCGTCTCCTCATCGAAACTGAGGTCCAGCACGTTGCCTCCCTTTGGGTTAAGGGTGGGACTGTTTAGCAAGAGGGCTTCTCTGACTGTGTGACACACATGCATGGAGGAGCCATGTCAACACCACTTGGAAGGCTCCCATCTGAGGGTGGGCCGTGTACAGATGTTCGAGCAGCTCTTGGAACGCGAGGTCCATGGTGAAGGGCACTGAGGAGCAGAAGAGGCATCCGGCTTGTCCAGTGGTGGTGGGTGTCGAAGTAGATCCTGGCATTGGACAGTGAGCTCTTCGCTCAGAACGGTGCATTTTGTCCTGGTTCCTGCTGAAAGTGTGCTAACTGGGGGTCTCGTGATGTCGATTGTGACACAAGGAAGCTTCTGTGGTCTCTGATTGGAGCCGCAGGTCAGATCTGAGGCCCTCGCCATTGCGGCACTTTGGGTTGGTGAGGTTGCTGAGTACCCTGTGGGCTGCAGCGGCTGCAGAGACCTAGGGGAACCGTGGAAGTTGTGAAAGTTAATAGGCCTCATTTCTGCCCTTGGTAGTTCCTGAATTGCAACTCCTGTCGCATCCTTGAGTCTTGGAGGTCGCCATGGACTGTGTTGTGGTCACAGGCCTGCATTTCTCCTGTAGGTTGGCCAGAGGCCCAGAGAAGAATGGTTGTGCAGGTGAGGAAAAGTGCAGTGTGATTTCCTGGGATGTCATGTCTGCCGAGGCTGCAGGCACTGTCGTTCTGTTTTCACTGATACATACTGTGGTCCTTTGGAAGCTGCCCTCAGCTGGGTACAGAGGAGAGGGCATTGCTGGTGCTTGGGAGGCTCGGTGATAGGTGACCTTTGTGTCCTTGGTGGCCTGCTGCCAGTAGAAGGACTGTCCAAGGGTATCTTTGGTGCCTTGAAGAGTTGCAGTAACAGAGGCCAAGCAGCCAGGCCTGTGGGTTGTTATGTGGTGTGCGCACATGCCTCTTGGCCTCCATTTGAGCGTGGGCCTGGAATTAGCTTTGTTCCCTAAGGTTGGGGCCAGTCAGCCGGCCCTGATAGCACCAATGTGTTCGTCTCACCTCGCAATGAAGCATCAAACTTGGAGGCCCGTGGTTCTGGTAGAGATTGGTCATTGGCTGGCATACCCACGCTGCCTTGTTATCGGAGCCAGCAGCTCCCATGGCACTGTGGCAGAGACATGTGGCATCCAAGGTCTTCCCCTGGCAGGTGTTCTGATGTCTTCATTAAAGCGTCCTTAGTGATCTGTGTGCACTGGGTCAGTCTGCCCACCTTCATCCTCTGGATCTTCCTGCTTGCTGATTGTGCCTGAGTGTGCTGAGGCCTTGGAGGCTTCAGATTTGGGTGAGTAACCCTTGCGGCAGGAGGAGTTCAATCTGGACCACGGCCTGCATTATGGGAGCTTTCTCTAGGGTGTCGTCAGTAGCCCGGTCCCTACAGGGTGTGGATCTGAGGATGATCTGGCCAGGACAGGGGTCCCGTTTCTGTGGGAGTGACCCTTGGATCCTGGTACCTGAGGCAGTCCAGGTCCCATCCTCACTTTCTGTCAGAGGCCGCCCAATGATTGGACTGACTGGCAGGAAGAGACGCATGCCTTGAATTCTTTTCCTATTGGAGGGTGCGGTGAGCCGTATCTGCCCTAGTGCCAAGTTCACCTTACTGTGCAGTTCTCTGGGAACATTTTCTGGTTAGGGTGGAGGTGGTCCTTGTGACAAGGACCCCTTAGCTGTAGTAGTAGCTACAGTCTCAGGGTAGGTGGCATTCACACAGATGCTCTGCAAGGTGACCTTGGGCGGTCAGGTCTCTGCTTTGGTCAGAGATCATGGGTCATGGAGACTGGGAGCCTAGAGCCGATGTCGACAGCCCCTCAGTGAAACTGTGCATGGGGCCGAAGGAAGATGCCAGGTGTCCTCCCCCATTTCGTGGGAAGACAGGAGGTCAGGGCTTCATGAATCTGACATGCGTGTTCAGACCGCAGGGTGTTTCCATGCAGGCTCTGAAACTTGGATACCCGGACGTATTTCTAGACACACACCCAAATTGCCGAGAGTGCATTCTTGTTGGTACATTCTTGTTGGCACTCAAGCCCAAATAGAATCCCCTACCACCCATGCATGCTGAGTCAGAAAGTCACCCACATGCACCTGAGCCTGAATTGCTGCACTCTTTTGAAAGGTAGGTAACTGTCTGTAAGGGTTGGATGTAGTTGGGTTCAGATACAGGCCTTCCCCCAGTGAAACATTTTCCTCGGTGTTATTCAGTGAGAGATCAAGCGCACATCTCAAGTGTTCCTGTGCTTTCTGTCCCCTTGTCAGGTGAAGTTGCCAGGTATGGCTGTCCATCACCCAGGATACGAAGCCCCGCCCATGAGGCAGGGGCTCGAGGTGCAAGGCAGTCCGGCAAGAAGTGTGGTGCCCCAGGTTGCTGCCAGTTCTTTTTGGATCACCGAGCATGGTACGTCTTCTCCTGCCCCAGGACGTGTCGTGAATTTCAGGCTTCCTGGCGCTGTTGCCTGAGTGGCTGTCCGTGCGGAGGGACCATTCCTCTTGTTGACAAGCCTGGGGGCTCTGAGTTCCCCGGCTGCTGGAGGACTCCCAGGTCACTGGCTCCTCCTGAGAGCGGCACTGCCTGCCCTGTGAAGGTGGGGAGCGAGCCAGCTCGTGCTCGGATCGATGACGACACCCTCTCATGCATTCCTTGGAAAATCTGAACAAAATGAGTGAGAACTCACTACCGTCTCCTCATCGAAACTGAGGTCCAGCACGTTGCCTCCCTTTGGGTTAAGGGTGGGACTGTTTAGCAAGAGGGCTTCTCTGACTGTGTGACACACATGCATGGAGGAGCCATGTCAACACCACTTGGAAGGCTCCCATCTGAGGGTGGGCCGTGTACAGATGTTCGAGCAGCTCTTGGAACGCGAGGTCCATGGTGAAGGGCACTGAGGAGCAGAAGAGGCATCCGGCTTGTCCAGTGGTGGTGGGTGTCGAAGTAGATCCTGGCATTGGACAGTGAGCTCTTCGCTCAGAACGGTGCATTTCGTCCTGGTTCCTGCTGAAAGTGTGCTAATTGGGGGTCTCGTGATGTCCATTGTGACACAAGGAACTTCTGTAGTCTCTGATTTGAGCCCCAGGTCAGATGTGAGGCCCTCGCCATTGCGTCCCTTTGGGTTGGTGAGATTGCTGAGTACCCTGTGGGCTGCAGCGGCTGCAGAGACCTAGGGGAACGGTGGAAGTTGTGAAAGTTAATAGGCCTCATTTCTGCCCTTGGTAGTTCCTGAATTGCAACTCCTGTCGCATGCTTGAGTCTTGGAGGTCGCCATGGACTGTGTTGTGGTCACAGGCCTGCATTTCTCCTGTAGGTTGGCCAGAGGCCCAGAGAAGAATGGTTGTGCAGGTGAGGAAAAATGCAGTGTGATTTCCTGGGATGTTATGTCTGCTGAGGCTGCAGGCACTGTCGTTCTGTTTTCACTGATACATACTGTGGTCCTGTGGAAGCTGCCCTCAGCTGGGTACAGAGGAGAGGGCATTTCTGGTGCTTGGGAGGCTCGGTGATAGGTGACCTTTGTGTCCTTGGTGGCCTGCTGCCAGTATAGGGACTGTCCAAGAGTATCTTTGGTGCCTTGTAGACTTGCAGTAACAGAGGCCAAGCAGCCAGGCCTGTGGGTTGTTATGTGGTGTGCGCACATGCCTCTTGGCCTCCATTTGACCGTGGGCCTGGAAATAGCTATGTTCCCTAAGGTTGGGGCCAGTCAGCCGGCCCTGATAGCACCAATGTGTTCGTCCCCCCTCGCAATGAAGCATCAAACGTGGAGGCCCGTGGTTCTGGTAGAGATTGGTCATTGGTTGGCATACCCACACTGCCTCAGTATCGGAGCCAGCAGGTCCCATGGCACTGTGGCAGAGACCTGTGGCATCCAAGGTCTTCCCCTGACAGGTCTTCTGACGTCTTCATGAAAGCATGCTTAGAGATCTGTGTGCACTGTGTCAGTTTGCCCACCTTCATCCTCTGAATCTTCCTGCTTGCTGATTGTGCCTGAGTGTGCTGAGGCCTTGGAGGCTTCAGATTTGGGTGAGTAACCCTTGCGGCACGAGGAGTTCAATCTAGACCACGGCCTGCATTATGGGAGCTTTCTCTAGGGTGTCGTCAGTAGCCCGGTCCCTACAGGGTGTGGATCTGAGGATGATCTGGCCAGGACAGGGGTCCCGTTTCTGTGGGAGTGACCCTTGGATCCTGGTACTTGATGCAGTCCAGGTCCCATCCTCACTTTCTGTTAGAGGCCGCCCAATGATTGGACTGACTGGCAGGAAGAGACGCATGCCTTGAATTCTTTTCCTATTCGAGGGTGCGGTGAGCCGTATCTGCCCTAGTGCCAAGTTCACCTTACTGTGCAGTTCTCTGGGAACATTTTCTGATTAGGGTGAAGGTGGACCTTGTGACAAGGACCCCTGAGCTGTAGTATTAGCTACAGTCTCAGGGTACGTGGCATTCACACAGATGCTCCACAAGGTGACCTTGGGCGATCAGGTGTCTGTGCTTTGGTCAGAGATCATGGGTCAAGGAGAATGGGAGCCTAGAGCCGATGTCGACAGCTCCTCAGTGAAACTGTGCATGGGGCCGAAGGAAGATGCCAGGTGTCCTCCCCCATTTCGTGGGAAGACAGGAGGTCAGGGCTCCATGAAGATGATATGCGTGTTCAGACCACAGGGCTTTTCCATGCAGGCTCTGAAACTTGGACACCCGGACGTATTTCTAGACAAACACCCAAATTGCCAAGAGTGCATTCTTGTTGGTACATTCTTGTCGGCACTCAAGCCCAAATAGAATCCCCTACCACCCATGCATGCTGAGTCAGAAAGTCACCCACATGCACTTGAGCCTGATTTGTTGCACTCTTTTGAAAGATAGGTAAGCAGCTGTCTGTAAGGGATGGTTGTAGTTGGGTTCAGATACAGGTATTCCCGCAATGAAACATTTTCCTCGGTGTTACTCAGTGAGAGACCAAGTGCACATCTCAAGTGTTCCTGTGCTTTCTGTCCCCTTGTCAGGTGAAGTTGCCAGGTATGGCTGTCCATCAGCCAAGAGACGAAGCCCCGCTCATGAGGCAGGGCTCGAGGTGCAAGGCAGTCCGGCAAGAAGTGTGGTACCCCAGGTTGCTGCCAGTTCTTTTTGGATCACCAAGCCCGGTACATCTTCTGCTGCCCCAAACATGTCGTGAATTTCAGGTTTCCTGGCGCTGCTGCCTGATTGGCTGTCCGTGTGGAGGGACCGTTCCTCTTGCTGAGAAGCCTGGGGGCTCTGAGTTCCCCGGCTCCTGGAGAACTCCCAGGTCACTGGCTCCTCCTGAGAGCGGCACTGCCTGCCCTTTGAAGGTGGGGACCGAGTCAGCTCGTGCTCGGATCGATGACGACACCCTCTCATGCATTCCTTGGAAAATCTGAACAAAATGAGTGAGAACTCACTACAGTCTCCTCATCAAAACTGAGGTCCAGCACGTTGCCTCCCTTTGGGTTAAGGGTGGGACTGTTTAGCAAGAGGGCTTCTCTGACTGTGTGACACAGATGCATGGAGGAGCCATGTCAACACCACTTGGAAGGCTCCCATCTGAGGGTGGGCCGTGTACAGATGTTCGAGCAGCTCTTGGAACGCGAGGTCCATGGTGAAGGGCACTGAGGAGCAGAAGAGGCATCCGGCTTGTCGAGTGGTGTTGGGTGTCCCAGTAGATCCTGGCATTGGACAGTGAGCTCTTCGCTCAGAACGGTGCAATTTGTCCTGGTTCCTGCTGAAAGTGTGCTAATTGGGGGTCTCGTGATGTCGATTGTGACACAAGGAAGCTTCTGTGGTCTCTGATTGGAGCCGCAGGTCAGATCTGAGGCCCTCGCCATTGCGGCCCTTTGGGTTGGTGAGACTGCTGAGTACCCTGTGGGCTGCAGTGGCTACAGAGACCTAGGGGAACGGTGGAAGTTGTGAAAGTTAATAGGCCTCATTTCTGCCCTTGGCAGTTCCTGAATTGCAACTCCTGTCCCATGCTTGAGTCTTGGAGGTCGCCATGGACTGTGTTGTGGTCACAGGCCTGCATTTCTCCTGAAGGTTGGCCAGAGGCCCAGAGAAGAATGGTTGTGCAGGTGAGGAAAAGTGCAGTGTGATTTCTTGGGATGTTATGTCTGCTGAGGCTGCAGTCACTGCCGTTCTGTTTTCACTGATACATACTGTGGTCCTTTGGAAGCTCCCCTCAGCTGGGTACAGAGGAGAGGGCGTTACTGGTGCTTGGGAGGCTCGGTGATAGGTGACCTTTGAGTCCTTGGTGGCCTGATGCGAGTAGAAGGACTGTCCAAGGGTATCTTTTGTGCCTTGAAGAGTTGCAGTAACAGAGGCCAACCAGTCAGGCCTGTGGGTTGTTATGCGGTGTGCACACATGCCTCTTGGCCTCCAATTGACCGTGGGCTTGGAATTAGCTATGTTCCCTAAGGTTGGGGCCAGTCAGCCGGCCCTGATATCACCAATGTGTTCGCCCCCTCTCGCAATGAAGCATCAAACTTGGAGGCCCGTGGTTCTGGTAGAGATTGGTCATTGTTTGGCATACCCACACTGCCTCAGTATCGGAGCCAGCAGCTCCCATGGCACTGTGGCAGAGACTTGTGTCATCCAAGGTCTTCCCCTGAGAGGTCTTCTGACGTCTTCATGAAAGCATGCTTAGAGATCTGTGTGCACTGGATCAGTTTGCCCACCTTCATCCTCTGAATCTTCCTGCTTGCTGATTGTGCCTGAGTGTCCTGAGGCCTTGGAGGCTTCAGATTTGGGTGAGTAACCCTTGCGGCAGGAGGAGTTCAATCTGGACCATGGCCTGCATTATGGGAGCTTTCTCTAGGGTGTCGTCAGTAGCCCGGGCCCTACAGGGTGTGGATCTGAGGATGATCTGGCCAGGACAGGGGTCCCGTTTCTGTGGGAGTGACCCTTGGATCCTGGTACTTGATGCAGTCCAAGTCCCATCCTCACTTTCTGTTAGATGCCGCCCAATGATTGGACTGACTGGGAGGAAGAGACGCATGCCTTGAATTCTTTTCCTATTCGATGGTGCGGTGAGCTTATCTGCCCTAGTGCCAAGTTCACCTTACTGTGCACTTCTCTGGGAACATTTTCTGGTTAGGGTGAAGGTGGACCTTGTGACAAGGACCCCTGAGCTGTAGTAGTAGCTACAGGCTCAGGGTACGTGGCATTCACACAGATGCTCTGCAAGGTGACCTTGGGCGGTCAGGTGTCTGTGCTTTTGTCAGAGATCATGGGTCAAGGAGAATGGGAGCCTAGAGCCGATGTCGACAGCCCCTCAGTGAAATTTTGCATGGGGCCGAAGGAAGATGCCAGGTGTCCTCCCCCATTTCGTGGGAAGACAGGAGGTCAGGGCTCCATGAAGACGATATGAGTGTTCAGACCGCAGGGCGTTTCCATGCAGGCTCTGAAACTTGGATACCCGGACGTATTTCTAGACAAACACCCAAATTGCCAAGAGTGCATTCTTGTTGGTACATTCTTGTTGGCACTCAACCCCAAATAGAATCCCCTACCACCCATGCATGCTGAGTCAGAATGTCACCCACATGCACCTGAGCCTGATTTGCTGCACTCTTTTGAAAGGTAGGTAAGCAACTGTCTGTAAGGGATGGTTGTAGTTTGGTTCAGATACAGGTCTTCCCCAAATGAAACATTTTCCTCGGTGTTACTCAGTGAGAGACCAAGTGCACATCTCAAGTGTTCCTGTGCTTTTTGTCCCCTTGTCAGGTGAAGTTGCCAGGTATGGCTGTCCATCAGCCAAGAGACGAAGCCCCACTCATGAGGCAGGTGCTCGACGTGCAAGGCAGTCCGGCAAGACGTGTGGTGCCCCAGGTTGCTGCCAGTTCTTTTTGGATCACCGAGCCCGGTACATCTCCTGCTGCCCCAAACATGTCGTGAATTTCAGGCTTCCTGTCGCTGCTGCCTGAGTGGCTTTCCGTGCGGAGGGACCATTCCTCTTGTTGACAAGCCTGTGGGCTCTGAGTTCCCCGGCTGCTGGAGGACTCCCAGGTCACTGGCTCCTCCTGAGAGCGGCACTGCCTGCCCTGTGAAGGTGGGGAGCGAGCCAGCTCGTGCTCGGATCGATGACGACACCCCCTCATGCATTCCTTGGAAAATCTGAACAAAATGAGTGAGAACTCACTACCGTCTCCTCATCGAAACTGAGGTCCAGCACGTTGCCTCCCTTTGGGTTAAGGGTGGGACTGTTTAGCAAGAGGGCTTCTCTGACTGTGTGACACACATGCATGGAGGAGCCATGTCAACACCACTTGGAAGGCTCCCATCTGAGGGTGGGCCGTGTACAGATGTTCGAGCAGCTCTTGGAACGCGAGGTCCATGGTGAAGGGCACTGAGGAGCAGAAGAGGCATCCGGCTTGTCCAGTGGTGGTGGGTGTCCCAGTAGATCCTGGCATTGGACAGTGAGCTCTTCGCTCAGAACGGTGCATTTTGTCCTGGTTCCTGCTGAAAGTGTGCTAATTGGGGGTCTCGTGATGTCGATTGTGACATAAAGAAGCTTCTGTGGTCTCTGATTGGAGCCCCAGCTCAGATCTGAGGCCCTCGCCATTGCGGCCCTTTGGGTTGGTGAGATTGCTGAGTACCCTGTAGGCTGCAGTGGCTGCAGAGACCTAGAGGAACGGTGGAAGTTGTGAAAGTTAATAGGCCTCATTTCTCCCCTTGGCAGTTCTTGAATTGCAACTCCTGTCCCATGTTTGAGTCTTGAAGGTCGCCATGGACTGTGTTGTGGTCACAGGCCTGCATTTCTCTTGCAGGTTGGCCAGAGGCCCAAGGAGGAATCGTTGTGCAGGTGAGGAAAAGTGCAGTGTGATTTCCTGGGTTGTCATGTCTGCTGAGGCTGCCGGCACTGCCGTTCTGTTTTCACTGATACATACTGTGGTCCTTTGGAAGCTGCCCTCAGCTGGGTACAGAGGAGAGGGCATTGCTGGTGCTTGGGAGGCTCGGTGATAGGTGACCTTTGTGTCCTTGGTGGCCTGCTGCCAGTAGAAGGACTGTCCAAGGGTATCTTTGGTGCCTTGAAGACTTGCAGTAACAGAGGCCAAGCAAACAGGCCTGTGGGTTGTTATGTGGTGTGCGCACATGCCTCTTGGCCTCCATTTGACCGTGGGCCTGGAATTAGCTATGTTCCCTAAGGTTGGGGCCAGTCAGCCGGCCCTGATAGCACCAATTTGTTTGCCCCCCCTCGCAATGAAGCATTAATCTTGGAGACCCGTGGTTCTGGTAGAGATTGGTCATTGGTTGGCATACCCACGCTGCCTCAGTATCGGAGCCAGCAACTCCCATGGCACTGTGGGAGAGACCTGTGGCATCCAAGGTCTTCCCCTGGCAGGTCTTCTGATGTCTTCATGAAAGCATGCTTAGTGATCTGTGTACACTGGGTCAGTTTGCCCACCTTCATCCTCTGAATCTTCCTGCTTGCTGATTGTGCCTGAGTGTTCCGAGGCCTTGGAGGCTTCAGATTTGGGTGAGTAACCCTTGCGGCAAGAGGAGTTCAATCTGGACCACGGCCTGCATCATGGGAGCTTTCTCTAGGGTGTCGTCAGTAGCCCAGTCCCTACAGGGTGTGGATCTGAGGATGATCTGGCCAGCACAGGGGTCCCGTTTTTGTGGGAGTGACCCTTGGATCCTGGTACCTGAGGCAGTCCAGGTCCCATCCTCACTTTCTCTTAGAGGTCGCCCAATGATTGGACTGACTGGCAGGAAGAGACGCATGACTTGAATTATTTTCCTATTTGAGGGTGCGGTGAGCCGTATCTGCCCTAGTGCCAAGTTCACCTTACTGTGTACTTCTCTGGGAACTTTTTCTGGTTAGGGTGGCGTTGGACCTTGTGACAAGGACCCCTGAGCTGTAGTAGTAGCTACAGTCTCAGGGTACATGGCATTCACCCAGATGCTCCGCAAGGTGACCTTGTGCGGTCAGGTGTCTGTTCTTTGGTCAGAGATCATGGGTCATGGAGACTGGGAGACTAGAGCCTATGTCGACAGCCCCTCTGTGAAATTTTGCATGGTGCTGAAGGAAGATGCCCGGTGTCCTCCCCCATTTTGTGGGAAGACAGGACGTCAGGGCTCCATGAAGACGACATGCGTGTTCAGACCGCATGGCGTTTCCATGCAGGCTCTGATACTTGGATACCCGGACATATTTCTCGACACACACCCAAATTGCCGAGAGTGCATTCTTCTTTGTACACCAGCACAGAGACACTCAACCCCACATATAATCCCCTTCCACCCATGCATACTGAGTCAGAAAGACACCCACATGCACTTGAGCCTGATTTGCTGCACTCTTTTGAAAGGTAGGTAAGCAGCTGTCTGTAAGGGATGGATGTAGTTGGGTTCAGATACACGCCTTTTCCCAGTGAAACATTTTCCTCGGTGTTTCTCAGTGAGAGGCCAAGTGCACATCTCAAGTGTTCCTGTGCTTTCTGTCCCCTTGTCAGGTGAAATTGCCAGGTATGGCTGTCCATCACCCAGGAGACGAAGCCCCGCCCATGAGGCAGGGTCTCGAGGTGCAAGGCAGTCTGGCAAGTAGTGTGGTGCCCCAGGTTGCTGCCAGTTCTTTTTGGATGACGAGCACAGTACGGCTTCTCCTGTCCCAGGACGTGTTGTGAATTTCAGGTTTCCTGGCGCTGCTGCCTAAGTGGCTGTCCGTATGGAGGGACCGTTCCTCTTGCTGAAAAGCCTGGGTGCTCTGAGTTCCCCCGTCTTCTGGAGAACTCCCAGGTCACTGGCTCCTCCTGAGAGCGGCACTGCCTGCCCTGTGGAGGTGGGGAGCGAGCCAGCTCCTGCTCGGATCGATGAGGACACCCTCTCATTCATTCCTTGGAAAATCTGAACAAAATGAGTGAGATCTCACTACTGTCTCCTCATCGAAACTGAGGTCCAGCACGTTGCCTCCTTTGGGGTTAATTATGGGACTGGTTAGCAAGAGGGCTTCTCTTTCTGTTTCACTCACATGCATGGAGGAGACAGGTCAACACCACTTGGGAGGCTCCCATCTGAGGGTGGGCCGTGTACAGATGTTCGAGCAGCTCTTGGATCGCGAGGTCCATGGTGAAGGGCAACTGAGGAGCAGAAGAGGCATCCGGCTTGTCCAGTGGTGGTGGGTGTCCCAGTAGATCCTTGCATGGGACAGTTGAGCTCTTTGCTCAGAATGGTGTTTTTCCTCCAAGTTCATGCTGTGAGTGCACTAGTTGGGCAGTTTTCGTATGAAAGCTGAAGCAAGGAAGCTTCTGTGGTCTCTGATTGTAGCCCCAGGTCAGATCTGTGCCCTTGCTTTTGTGGCTTTTGGGTTAGTGAGATATTTGAGTGCCCTGTGGGCTGCAGTGGTTGCAGGGACCTAGGGGATCGGTGGCAGTTGTGAAGGTTAATAGGCCTCATTTCTGCCCTTTGCAGTTCCTGGTTGCAACTCCTGTCACATGCTTGAGTCTTGGAGGCCGCCTTCGACTTTGAAGTGGTCCCAGGCCTTCATTCCTTCTGCTGTTTGGCCAGAGGCCTAGATCAGAATGGTTTGCAGGTGAGGAAATGTGCAGTGTGACTTCTTGGACAATCTCTCCACTGAGGTTGCAGCCACTGTTTTTGTGTTTTCAGTGTTACATAATGTGGTCCTTTTGGAGCTGCCCTCCACTTGGTACAGAGGAGAGGGCATTGCTTGTGCCTGGGAGGTTCAGTGTTAGTGACCTTTTTGGCCTTGCTGGTCCGATGCCAGAAGAGGGACTCTTCATTCATATCTTTGGTGCCTTGAAAACTTGCACTAACTGCTTCTACCACGCTGTGGGTGGTAATGTGGTGTGCGTGCATGCCCCTTGGCCCACATTTGGCCCCTTGTCCTGTAATTTGAAGGTTTGTGATTTTTTAAAATTTGGGGCCAGCTAGTCAGCTCCGATCCACCCAGGCGTTCACTCCCCTAGCAGTGTTATGAACCTTGAAGGCCTGGGTTTGTAGTAGAGATTGGTCACTTGTTGGCTTACCAAGGCTACCTCAATATAGGCGCCAGCAGCTCCCCTGGCAGAGGCTCCCCTGGCACTATGGCAGGAAACCTGGTACATCCAAGGTCTTCCCCTGGCAGGTGTTCTGATGTCTTCCTGGAAGCCACCTTAATAATCTGTAAGCACTTGGTGATCTTGCGTGGCGGACACAAGGTGCCAAGCAGAATGGTGTGATGTCACCCTAGTCAAAGCCCACTTTTTCCTGTTGTTCGGTGCTGGTTGTCTCTGTGTGAACAGAGCCCCTGGAGGCTTCTGATGTGGGTGAGTCGCTATTTGGAGCAGAAATGTTCAATTTGGACCAAGCCCTGCATTATGGGAGTTTTTCCCATAGAGTCTGGTCAGTACCCAGTGGCCTGCACTCTGTGGATCTTAACCTATTCTGGCTGGGCAAGGGGCCCCGTTTCTGTGGGAGTGACACCTGGATGTTGGTACCTGAGGATGAGCACCTCTTGTCTTTCACTTACCATTGGATCCCTGGAGAGTGATTGGACTCATTGGGCAGGAAGAGGCTCATGACTTGAATTCTTTTGCTGCACTCACGCTCACATATTTATCCAGTCCTAGGTAGGGAATCAATATATTTGGCTAAGCAGATAAAGGCCTTCCCTAGGGAACCATGGGCATCAACATTGTTCAGTGAGAATTCGGGCACACATCTGAAGTGTTCCTTTACTTTCTCTCCACTTGTCAGGAGAAGTTCCCAGGTATGACTATCTGCCACCCAAGACAAGGAGCCATGCATGTGAGACAGGACCTCGAGGTGCAAGGGAGTCTGGCGAGAAGCTGACGGGCCCAGGTTCCTGCCACTGCTTTTTGGATCACTGAGGATGGCAACCTTCTCTTACCACAAGATGTTTCA